GTTTATTATTTCTTCTCTCTCTCTCTCTCTTCTCTCTCTCTCTCTCTCTTTCTCTCTCTCTCTCTCTTTCTCCATCTCTCTTTATCGTTATGAACAAACCTTATCAGCAACACTTCCAGGTAGAATCGTTTTAACAACAACACCGCTTGATGTACCACCAACAATACCAAAACCTAATCCAACACCGGGAATATTTGGGAGGTAAATAATTTCTACCTCGGTCCAATCACTCGTCAACTGTAATTTTTAGAAATTTCGTCATAATTCAATTTCAAAGTTAACAATTAAGACTGTTGAAAATAATTTTATCAAATAATTTTAACTTTTTTTATTAGCAAAATTACTAACATAAAAAACTTAATGAGAATTGTTCATTTAACATTTCAAAAATTACTCGTGTTAAAAAAAAAGAAATTTAGTTTAGAATATTAAAAAACGTACGACCATATGCGGTGATTGACGTAATAACGTGACAATAATAATGGATGAGTAATTTTCTGATTTATTATCGTCGCACACTTTTTCGTTATTAAAATTTTCAATAAGCTTTTCGTATCGATCAATTAATGTCGTAGAAGGAATAGCTTCGATTCTTGACAACACCGTTGCATCATTCTCACTATCATATTTCCATATTGCATCCTGGTTAAACACTTCACGATCTTTTTCATCATCATAATCATCATCATCACCATAATCATCATCATCATCTTCTTCTCCATCATCATCATCTTCATCATCATCATCATCATCATCATCATCATCATCATTATCATCATCTGTTTGGGGTAAGGCTAAATCTAACGCAGTTTTTGATCTTCTGTCTGCTTCCCTTTGCTTTCTGTTTTCAATGTTAGCTTTCGTAAACTTTGGACAATTTAACGATGATGATTTTGATTCTTTTCTTCGTTGCTTTTTAACTTTACCGCCGTTGCTCTCTTCTCCTACTAATTGATAATCGTTAACGTTAAATGAATTTCTGTTGACACATTGATTGGACACCTAAAATCAATTTAAAAAAAAAAAATTAATGACAATGTTATTTCAAATAATTTTGTAGAAATATAAATTTAATCGTCTACAGTCCCTTTTTTTTTCTAACTAATTAAATAATACCAGATAGATTAAACTAATTGCTTCCATCTATGATTGATTGATTGATCATTCTATCTTTGATAACTTTATGATGGGAAAATATTGTTACAATCATTGATAACACTCAAATTGACAAAAATGTTTAATTATGAAAAGTAACATCAATTTTTCCGTTTAATTTTCTGAATTTTTTTTTTTCTGGAAGAGATTTAAATGTGATAAATGTTAAGAGTTTAATTATGCGACCACAATAAAGAGACATTTAGATATATGATATTGGTTTTTATAAAGAAAACAAAACAAGGAAATGATTGTAATTAGTCATTCCCAAGAGATTATCATCTGTGGAGAAATATATGCAATTTTATTGCTTCAAAAATTAAGCAAAGAGTTGAAAAATGTTTGAAATGATATTTTTCAAATGATAATTTTAGGAAGAAAATTGTCTAATTATACTATGAATAAATACAATCAAACTGATAAAAAAATGATTCAATTGGATTACAGTAAGATAAGATTACTGATTATAAATTATTCAATTTCCAGTTCATTTAATTTCTTTTTCCTCTTTTTTTATTTTATCATTCATTTGTTAATTTAATTTAAACATATTAAATATAATATATTTTGCTCATTTATTCGGAAAATTTTCAGATTTAAACGCTTAAACAATTACTCTATTATGTTGTTTGAAAGGAATTGAAGGAGTAGGAAGGTTTTCCGTAGAGGACTTTTCGGCTGATGATGATAATGGATGGAGAAGATGCTGATTGAATGCCAAAATTTGATCACCAATATGAATCCAACCACCAGATCTGGAAATTTTGATGAATTTGTTGTTTTTTTTTTTTTTCTTCACTCCAAATGATTTATGTTAATCTTTGTAAAATCTTTTCTTAAATACCATAATAATAAACAAATGATAAAATAAACAAAGTGTTGCATTTTGAAATGTAAACAAAATTGCAAAATTAAAAAAAAAACTTAAAAGAAAAAACTTATCATCTATTAATGATAATTAAGAAAATTTCTAATCAAATGAAATGAGGTAAATATGATAAGAAGAAAGACAAATAAAATATTCACAAAGATAATTAGAAATGTCATAAAATGGAAAATTGAAATTTTAGCAAATAATAATTATTTGTTTGCATTTGTCGCTGAAATCTTGAGAAGAAGCAATGAATCAATAATTGCTTTGATACTGTTAGTATAATGTATTGCATGTGTTGATATACTGTACAATGTAAGCTAATATTTGTGCATCCATTGCGCCTATATGCTCTATTAAAGGGCGCTAATTATAATCATAGATCTAATCTCAGAGTTTTGCCAGGATCTACTTCTACTCCAGGAAGAAGAAGGCCCTGAAGGCCAAATCATTTCAAAAGACACGTTTCAACAGGTTGATTAGATGGAACGATAGTTTGGGCATCATTTGGTCTATGGTTTTTTCCTCTTTTGTTCTTTTTAATATTGTCATTGAATTGTTGAATTCGTTTCTGTATTAATCAACTTATAGGAATAAAGATTTAATTATCCAAGTTTGAGGCGCTTTTAACC